GCCCCAGCACTGCCGGCGGATCCCGATGGCGCCTGGGCAACATGGCCCTGGGAAAAGTCTCTGTGCCCAGTGTTCCCGCTCACCTCTGTCCCGGAACGCGGGATGCTCCGTGCGCCGGTGCTCCCTGGAGGCTGCCCGGCGCGGTGGTGCCGCGCGGCTGTACGCGCCATCCCAATAAAGTGAGCCATGCTATCCCAACCGTATCCTGTGTGTGTGTTCTGCGGCGCCGCGTGATCCGCGCCTGCGGGCCAGAGCCTCCCTGTGTCCGGAATCCTGGCTTTATCGGGAGCGCCACTTACACCTAGACACGCGCAGAGTGACCGAGCCCATTCCGGAGGCTCTGTCACACGTGGACGAGCTCCCGCTTTTCCTGGGAATGCTGGGGTGTGTGCAGGGCGTCCTCGTGGTGTTGCCACCTTCATTAACCATCTCTCTGTTTCTCTTCCCTCTTTCCCATCCCGCTCTGCGACCGGCGGAAACTCCACACGGCGGCGCCGGCGGCGGAATCCCGGGAGGCGTCCGAGGAGCCCGGCCGCCGCTCAGCGCCGCTTGTCCCCCCCGTCCCTCTTGTCGCCCCCGCAGAGGTGCAGTTCCGCCCGTACCGCACGGACGACTTCATCACGCGCCTCTACTACGAGACGCCGCGGCTCACGGTGCTCAACCAGACGTGGGTGCTCAAGGCGCGCGTCAACGACTCGGAGCGCAACCCCAACCTGTCGTGCAAGCGCACGCTCTCCTTCCAGCTCATCCTCAAGAGCAAGATCAACTCGCCCATGGAGTGCTCCTTCCTGCTGCTCGAGGGGCCCTACGACGACGTCAAGATCAACCCCGTCATCTACCACTTCGTCTTCACCAACGAGAACAACGAGACCGACTACATGCCGCTGCCCATCGTGGACTCGGTGGAGTGTAACAAACTGCTGGCGGCCAAGAACATCAACCTGCGGCTTTTTATATTTCCTATACAGAAATAAGGGGCCGCCGCACCGCACTGACCTCGCGCGGCCGCTCCGGGGCCGCCCGGAGGCTCCG